CCAGGGAAGTGGTGGAGTCACCATCCCTGGAGGTATTTAAAAGATGTGTAGATGTGGTGCTTAGGGACATGGTTTAGTGGTTAACCTGCTAGGTTTAACCTAGCATTGGCAGTGCTAGGTTAATGGTTGGACTTGATGATCTTAAAGGTCTTTTCCAACCTAAACGATTCTATGATTCTGTGATTCTACGATTCTTGTTTCCATATCTTTAGGTCAGGTTGTTATTCATCATCTTGCTGCCTGATCATTTAAATGAAGTCATGCTTACAGTGCTCTGTAGCAATTAATATATAGCATTCCTTTAAAACTTACTCTGCTCTTGCTTCTGATGCTTTCATGCACACACATATTTCCTTTCCTATTTAATTCATACTAATCTTAATATTTCTTTTATCCATCTCTACATTTCCTGCCCCATTTTTGTTAAAGAAAAGACAGCTGCAGTAATAGCAGAGCAGCTTGCTTGTCTGCTGTTTCAGCGCCAATTCCAGTAACCTGGTGGGTGCATTGATTTGTGCTTGTAATGCTGTGATCAGCTCCTTTGATGGCAGGATGAGGTGAGAAGAGACGAAGCCCATTCACCTCAATACCTTTGGTCTTAAAGGTACTGCTTAGTCAGGTTTGGTTCATAATTCCAGATAAAAAAATGTAAATATATCCAGAGGCATTCTCCTGCGATGTCCAGGTTCCTGTCGAAGCTTCCCCCGTCTGCAATCCCAAAATACAGGACTTCTTATATTTGTTTTAGATGCTACCAGCTTGGAGAGATGTCTCTGGTTTTTAGTTATGAAGTTACATACATTAGGGAGGGAGTCATCTGTCCCTGTGCAGGTGGCTTTATCTTAACTAAATGTCTAAACTGGCTGTATGGAGGATCAACTGAGAGAAACAGACACTTCTGATGCATCATTCCGGAGAAGTTCCCAGTGACTGGAAAAGGGGAAACATAACCCCCATTTTTAAAAAGGGAAAAAAGGAAGACCTGGGGAACTACAGGCCAGTCAGTCTCACGTCTGTGCCTGGGAAGATCATGGAACAGATCCTCCTGGAAGCTATGCTAAGGCACATGGAGGACAGGGAGGTGATTCGAGACAGCCAGCATGGCTTCACCAAGGGCAAGTCCCGCCTGACTAACCTGGTGGCCTTCTATGATGGGGTGAGTACATCAGTGGACGTGGGAAGGGCTACAGATG